GGACCCAAAACGTTAACTCTGTTTTCTCCTTCACAGATGCTGCCAGACCTGCTGAGCTTTTCCAGCAACTTTGTTTTTGTTCCTGCTATATCTAATAGCCTCTTGAATACATTCAATATTTTGGCATCAACTACCGCCTGTGGTAATGAATTCCACAGGCTCACCACTCTTTTGGTGAAGAAATGTCTCCTCACCTCTGTCCTAAATGGTCTACACTGAATCCTCATACAATGACTCCTGGTTCTGGACACACCCATCATCGGGAACATCCTCCCTGCATCTCCCCTGTCCAGCCCTGTTAGAATTTTATAAGTTTCTATGTGATCCCCTCTCATTTGTCTGAATTCCAGCAAAAACAATCCCAACCTAGTCAATCTCTCCTCATACGTCAGACCCACCAACCCTGGAATCAGCCTGGTAAACCTTCACAGTACTTCCTCAAGAGTAAGAGCATCCTTTCTCAGAAAAGGAGACCAAAACTGCTCACAATATTCTAGGCATGGCCTCACTAAGGCCCTATATAACTGCAATAACACATCCCTGCTCCTATGCTCAAAACCTCTCGTAATGAAGACCAACATACTATTTGCCTTCTTTACCGCCAGCTGCATCTGCATGCTTACCTTCAGCAACTGGTGCACAAGGCAAACCAGGTTCCACTGTACATTCCCCTCTCCCAATTTACAGCCATTTAGGCAGTAATCTGCCTTCTTGTTTTTGCTTCCAAAGTGAATAGCCTCACATTTATCCAAATTATGCTGCATCTGCCATTGAGTTGCCCACTTAACCAACCTGTCAAGATCACACTGAAGGATCTCTGCATCCTCATCACAGTTCACCCTCCCACCCAACTTGGTATCATCTGCAAACTTGGAGATGTTACGTTTTGCTCCCTCATCCAAATCATTAATACATATGGTGAATGGCTGTGGTCCCAGCACCGATCCCTGGTTACTGAAAACAAACTGGGACTATTGTATTGCAATTGTACACAGCGATCCTATTAATAAGGACTTTCTGCCCAAATGGGCTGAGAATAAAAGCTCACAACATGGGCAAAAATCAGGCAAAGATCTAGTTAGCATCTATCTTAATTGAAACAGAAAAATGCTGCAGAAACTCAGCAGGTTAGGCAGTGTCTTTGGAGCAAGAAAAAAGAGTTAATGTTTTGAGCACAATATGACTCTTCTTCAGAACACAAAGGGGTTGGAAAACAATAGTTTTTATGCTGTTAAGAAAGGGGAAGGGGCATTGAGTGGAAGAGATTGTGAGGGTGCCCAGTGCAAAAGCAAAGGTTGCAAACAGTGGTGAAGGAGATAGAGATGGGTCCTATTTTCTCCTTTTCATATGCTCATTCACACCCGTTATACATTTCTATTAACTCTTGAATATTGCCAGATGGAAAGAATAAACTAACTTGTCACTGTGCTTAGCCAAGAATATCTGCGTCGTGTGAATAGCTTCAGCAATCTCTTCTTTCTTGTTCGACAATTCCACATAAAGCATCTGGAACAAATAAGGGATAACAATGGGGTCGTTATCAAACAGGGAGGATAACAAAAGCTCACATATTTCCCTCAAAGACATCCACTGAAAACGCACCAACCGTTTAATGCTGATGTGAGGAACCATTTCTACACACAAAGGGATGTGGAAATCTGGAACTATTACCACACCTTAAGAATCTGTTGAGGCTGTCAATTGAGCGTTTAAAATCTGTGATAAATACACCTGACAAACAAAAATCTATCAACTGGTATGCAACCAGAAGGGTAGATAGAGTTAAGATATAGATCAGACACACTTCAGCTGAATAGGAGAACAGGCTCGAGAAACTGAACGGCCTTTTCCTGTTGAATTAAGGGGGATTTTGTGGGATGGGGACTGCGGGGGGAGAAGGTTATTTCTCCAAAAGTGAATTGCATGAGTAACTGAAGAGGAAGAATGTTCCTACAGGAATGTTCAGGGCTACTAATTTCATAGCTCTTTCAAAGAGGAAAGGTGGGTGAAATAACCTCCTTCTGCGCGGTTTTCCATCATTAGTCTAAAATAGTAAGGTATTACCATCATCATTGTTGAAAAATATTCGGACATGGCGTCTGATGATCGTTTCTGCCACCTCCAGCAAGATGCCACCACCAGACACATATTCCCCTCCCCTCCCTTGTCCGCCTTCTGCAGGGACCGTTCCCTCCGGGACACCCTGGTCCATACTTCCTTCACCCCCAGCACCTCCCCACAGCCCTACGGCACCTTCCCCTGTAACCGGCGAAGGTGCAACACCTACGCATTTATCTCCTCCCTCCCCAGTATCCAAGGGCCCAAACATACCTTCCAGGTGAAGCAACACTTCACCTGCACTTCCAAGAATCTAGTCTCCTGCATTCGCTGCTCACAACGTGGTCTCCTCTACACTGGGGAAACGAAGCGTAGATTTGGCGACCGCTTCGCAGAACATCTACGTTCTGCTCACAAAAAATACCCTGAACTACCTGTTGCCTGCCACTTTAATGCACCACCTTGCTCCCTGGCCAACATCTCTGTCTCCGGCTTGCTACAATGTTCCAGTGAAGCCCAGCGCAAGCTGGAGGAACAACACCTCATTTTCCGCTTGGGGACCCTACAGCCCTCTGGACTCAATATTGAGTTCAATAATTTTAGGGCCTAAACTCTCTGATGTCCCGGCCCCCCACCCCACACAGCAGGCCTTGTTACCACATAGCCTGCCACTACACACCCCCTGTTGTTAGTCACTAACAGTCCCCATTAACAACTATTCACCCTCCCAGCCTGATCGTTAGCAACTCCTTTGTCTGTCCAACTGTCTTTCTCTCTCTTTGGGCTCTATCCTATCATTTACTCCCTACTCCCTACCCCACCCACCTCTCTATTTTCTGCATATAAACTGACGTTTTCCCAGCCACCATCAGTTCTGAGGAAGGGTCACCGGACCCGAAACGTTAACTCTGTTTTCTCCTCCACAGATGCTGCGAGACCTGCTGAGCTTTTCCAGCAACTTTGTTTTTGTTCCTGATTTACAGCATCCACAATTCTTTTGGTTCTTATTTTGAAAAATATTCTCTACTGAGCAGTGCAGTGGAGTGATAGTAATGAGGTCAGCCAGGTAGATCTCATGTAATATGCATTCCCTGATTGATGCTGTTAATCTGATCCAATCAGGGAGCCCTGGGTGACAGATATAAACAGTAGTGTCAGAGGCTCTGTTCACTCTGAGAGGTGGCTCTGAGGAAACTGGATCAGTGTCAGAGACTTTCCATGTTTAAACAAAACGTAACTTGGTGACAGGATACAGCTCTCCATGGAGTTATTTCAGCAGGGTGGAAAACTAGCCCAGAAGACAGCATTTTAAAGAAGTAACCCTTGCCAGTGCACAAGTTCAGCAGTGATATAGCTGAAATAGATTTCCTCAGGAATTTAGGCACGACCAAATTTACAAGAATTGAGATATCTGAAGTGGGTGAAAGACTCGGCAGGAAGTCAGTGAGCAAGTGTCTCAACTGGCTAAACAGACAATATTATCCTTTCTTTCTCTGGGTCATTGAACAAAGAACAGTTAGTTACAGCATTTGGTTTGAAACCAAAACCAAACACTAGTTTCTCACATATCAGCTGCAAACCATTGACAAATTTCGGTTAATATTACTTTGAGCTGCTTAGTAGGGGTGAATGACCACTTTCTTGGTTTTACCCATCCCAAATCCACCACTGGGAGAGATTTTCCCTGTTTGGTGATGAAAGAAGAAACCTACATCTTTCTATTATAGGAAAGCAAAGTTCACACAGTTATTTTTCTACGAATCCACAACAAAAAACAGTAATAGTGCGGATCTAGGCCACTCTAAGTAAATTTGTGACACAAAAGGAAGTGAATCATAAAACAATGAAATATGGAAAGAGGCTATTTAGCTAATTTTGCCTCTTTGGAGTGTCTATCCCATTACCCATTCTTTTCCAATAGCCAATTTCCCTTTTATTATTTAGCCAATCATCTTTGGAACGCTATTCTTAAAATTTGAGAAATTAAAGTAGAAATAGGCCTCTTGTTCTAAAGACCTTACTTCCCAAAGCCCAATCACTTCATTCAGTAGACAGATTTGACTATTTGAAAATACACTTATGGATTGGCATTCAAAATGAAAACTGAATTTACATTCACACGCAGAACCCTGTTATTTGCAGGCAAAAAATGAAACTGTCCATACATTGCACTTTTTTAATTGAAGGATTTAATATGGGGAGGCAATGGCCTTGTGGTATTATCGTTGGACTGTTAATCCAGAGACCCAGATAATGTTCTGGGGATCCGTTTTCAAATCCCATCACAGCAGATGGTGGAATTTGAATTCAATTAATAAAAAATATCTGGAATTAAGAATCTAATGTTGACCATGAACCCATTGTTGATTGTTGGAAAAATCCATCTGGTTCATTAATGTCCTTTAGGGAAGGAAACTGCTATCCTTACCTGGTATGGCCTACATGTGACTCCAGACCCACAGCAATGTGGTTGACTCTAAACTGCCCTCTGGGCAATTAGGGATGGGCAATAAATGCTGCCTGGTCAGTGATGCCCTCATTCCGTAAATGAATAAAGAAACAAAAAATTGAAGAAGGGAAAATCCAAATTGCTAATCTCTGCTGCACTCCCCATACACAAACCAATCACTGACTGCACTGACAAATCAGAGTCTCCCTGCCCGGTCTGAAGAGAAAGCAAGATGGCCACAAAGGGATATAATTAGAACATAGAACATTACAGCGCAGTACAGGACCTTCGGCCCTCGATGTTGCACCGACCTGTGGAACCAATCTGAAGCCCATCTAACCTAAACTATTCCATTATCATCCATATAGACAGGTTAAGTGAGTGGACAAAGATCTGGCAAATGGATAGTAATGTGGGAGAATATGAGATTGTCCATTTTGGAGAAAGAGTAAAGTAGAAGCTTATTATCTGACTGGTGAAAGGTTGAGGAGCTCTGAGTCGCAGAGGGATCTGGATGTCCGAGTGCATGAATCACAAAAGGCTAACATGTAGGTACAGTAACTAGAATGTTACTGTTTATTATGGGGGAATTCAATACAAAAGTAGAGAGGTTATGCTTCGGTTAAGAATTATTAAGAACTGCCGATGCTGGAGTCAGAGAAAACACAGTGTAGAGCTGGATGAACACAGCAGGCCAGGCAGCATCAGAGGAGCAGGAAAGCTGACGTTTCGGGTCAGGACCCTTCTTTAGAAAAAAAAGAAGGGTCCCGGCCTGAAACGTCAGCTTTCCTGCTCCTCTGATGCTGCCTGGCATGCTGTGTTCCACCAGCTCCACACTGTGTTATCTATGCTTCAGTTATACAGGGCACTGGTGAGAGTACATATGGAGTACTGTGTGCAGCCCTAGTCACTGTACTTTCAGAAGGATGTTAATGTGTTGTAAACAGCTCAGGGAAGGTTTACCAGACTAATACCTTGGATGGGCAGTTTGTCTTATGAGGAATGTTTGATCAGAACAGTCTTGTATCCACTGGAGTTTTGAAGTGTATGGAGCAACTCAGTTGAAACATACAATATCCTGAAGGGTCTCAATGGGATGTGGAAAGGATGTTTCTTGTTGTGAGAGAATCTAAATCTACAGGTCACTGTTTAACAACAAGGGGTTGATCAATTAAAACAGAGATAAGGAAAAATGTTTTCTCACAGGACTTGAGAATCAGAGTCCTTGAATAGTTTTAAGATAGAGGTAGATTGATTCTTGATAGGCAAAGGAGTGAAAGGTTATTGGTGGTAGGTGGGGATGGGAATAAGGATTTTTCCTGATGGTGGAGTAAGATTGAGGGGCCATGTAGCCTCCTTCTGCTCACAATTCACATGTTCCTAATCAACTAGGACTGACAGTGAATAGTTGTGGCTACATCTCCATATGGATCAACCAATTAGCACCTTTTTCTCATTCTGTATCCTCTTTCTAGTTTTTGTTTCGTATACTCCAGTCCTGAAGAGCGCCAGACCAAAAGCTTTGACTTAATGTCTCTTTTTTGTCAATTTCAAGCTTGTATTAACAAATAATTACTCATGATACGCCATTTCACCAAGACCATTCTATTCTAACATAGTTTGACAAAGATCCAAATTTAAGGACTTATAAGGGCATTAAGATCTACCATCAGGCATTGATCATCAGGCTGGAAGCAATCTCGCCTGGAATCTAGAAATAAGTGGAAAGAATTTGATTGCTGCGTCGACAATTCCAGGGTTCCTGAAATGACCAGGGCATGAACCAAAGCACTGGAGAACTGCCAATCTACCTTGATTTTAAAATTTTCATCCTTCTGTGTGTAGTGATTCTAACAAGGTCAGCCAGCTGGACCTGATAGAATAGCAGTTCCCTGACTGGGGTTGTTAACCTGGTCCAGTCATGGAGCCCCAACTGACATAAAAAGATTGATGTCAGAGATACTGATTCTCTTGTGCCTGACTCTGTATCAGGCAGTACTACATTCAAGGACTGTTCATGTGTGAATAAAGGGTGACTTGGCGACAGGATAACGGCCTATGAGTTATCTTAAACAATTTAGGTCTAGTAGGATTCTTTTGCTGTCTTTAGTCTGCATACTGGCAACAACTACAATGGCTTGCCTGCCAGGATCCTGAAAGAAATTTTAACCGTTTGGCTGAGGGATTTGCCGTGGGCCAACCTACAGTCCTTCTGATCAGTATATGTCTTGAGTGAGGCTGTGCAACTATGCAATTGCATGCACTCAAGTGGTATTCCGTTGGCATTTTTGCACAGTTACATCATTAATCCCACAAACCAGATGGTCTCTAAGCATCTCATTAAGGGTCAAACCAAATTTACAGGCTTCTGCCAGTCATCTTAACCTAGTCAAGAACCAGGGTAATCCTTTTCGGGTTTTTGAGTTGTTGAGTAAAAGTAATAGCATCTCAGAATTAGAGGAGGCTTGGGGTCATAATATTTCTTAGCTTTGTTAGTCAATTCTTGTAAAGTTTTAGTATCTGCTGCCTCAGGGAAAGTGAGGCTCCTAATGGCAGTAAAAGCTGCAGCTCCACAGACTGTCAGGAGAATTACTTGTCGTTAATCATCTGCCACAATGTCGTTTGCTGCTGGAAGAAGCTGCTGAGGAGCTCATAGTGCAAGAGGTTAGCTCCCATGCGTAACAGATTACCTACGTCATACCCGAGGGGGCTCTCCAAGGACAAGGATCAGCCCACGTCCACAGACTTAGAGGGGGAATGATGTAGTGATTGTAACAATGTCAGCCAGGTGGACCCTGTTTGGGGTTGTTAATCTGGTCCAGTCAGGGAGCCATGGCTGACACACAAAAAAGGCTAAGTGTCAGAGATACTGACATTCTGGTGCCTAACTCTGTATGAGGCAGTCCTATAGTCAAGGACTGTTCATGTGTAAATAAAGGCTTACTTGGTGATGGGATACCAGCCTCTGTATGCAAATCTCACCCTTCCCCATTTCTGCAATCTCTTCCATCCGCAGTGCTTCTACAATTCTAGTTCTTGTATATTACCAATTTCACCATAGGAGGCCATGCCCCCAGTTGTCTAAGTCCTGAAATTCTTTCGCCAAACCTTTCCATCTTTCAGCAAACTTTTGGTCACCCATCCCAATAACTCCACATAGAGCACTGTGTCAAGTTTTTTTTTAATACTGTACTCTGGTGAAGTGCTTTGCAATATAGTACAAGGTGAAAGGCACAACATCATCGCAAGTCATTCTTTTTGCTTGTCTGTGTCATGATATTCACATGACACCACATAGCAAATTCAACTTCCCACTTGGATTCACCCATCCACTAAGGAAGGTGATGCAACTTAAAAATGTTGCATTCACTTAGTAACCTAAAATTTTTTTTTCAAAAACAATACTTCTTGTATGTTGTGATGTACAGGTACAGCATTGACTCTGGCCTCCTATATGCTAGCCCACCATAACCATTGTGTGCTCCATTAACGAACTCTCCTCTTCAGAGAGAATGGAGGGAGCATCTTGAATACTTTTAAGACAGAGGTGGATAGATTCCAAATACAAGGGAGACAAAGTGTATCAGGTCCAGGCAGCAAAGTAGAGTTGAAGCCACAACCAGATCAACCATGATCTTCTCAAATGGCAAAGCAGGCTCAAAGAGATAAATACCTACTTTTGCTCCTAACATGTAGGTCTGTATGCATACATATTGTATGTAAAATGTACACATTTATACGGAGGTGATCTATAGTACCTGATTCTCAGAAAGCGACTTTTCCACTGCACCAGGCTCCACTGCAGGAGATTCGAGTCGTCTCTTCGCCAAGCTCTTGCTCTTCTCAGACACCCATTTCAACAATTCGCCAACTTTATCGACATGCTCTTGCTTTGCCTCTTCTACCGATTTCTAGCAGAGTTAGAAGATGTTTTCAAAACAATACCATTTGCTGTAAGGAACCTTAATTACTTAGCACAAAGTGATAATCAATCGTAAGTACCCGCCACAGGTTATTACATTTCAAAATATGTATCACCCACCCTTCCCCAAATTGATTGATTCAACCTAAAAGCAAATTGCCTTTGAATCAATGACTTGCTATGTATACAAGTGTTGAAGGCCGCCCCAGTAAATGCTGCATTAGCCAATTATGCACTTCGAGCATCTTGAGTTTCCATTTTCAAATGCTAAACCTTTTAAGGGGCAATGCTGTCTGTGGTTGATATTGCAATAATACAATAGCAAAATCACCACAAGACATCTCCAAGAATACGTAGATCACATAGTTACAATGAAAGAGCAGTATGTGACAAATGAAGGCAAAGGGAAAATTGGAATATTATTTTATTAACCAGTGAGCAATTAAACTACAAACTTTAAAGAGTTGTATTATGAACTATGCTGCAGCATATTGGTGGTAATCTTTCAAAACAGCGGAATGCAAAAATATCTGGAAAATGTCTTTGGCACAATAAGGTTTATATGATTGAACTGAAAGTTGCCCACTGAGGGTCTCCAAAAGCATTTCCTCAACAAATAAATGTTTATGTTAAAAATGGCAAATAAGTCCACACTGCCATGTCTGGAAGAATTAAAGTATCGAGTCACTTCAGTTAATTTTTTATAATTTATTGATGAACAACCTAGTGTTCAAAGTAGTGTAAGGGATCATCAAGTATTAAGAAATAAATTCTCATCTCTTTTACATTGGAACCAACAGAAGAGCTACAATCCTTGTATATTGAGTCATAGAGTTGTACAGCACAGAAACAGACCCTTCAGTCAAATTATTTCAGCTGACCAGATACCCTAAATTAATCTAGTCCCATTTGCCAGCATTTGGCCCATATCTTTCTAGACCCTTCCTATTCATGTGCCCATCTAGATGCCTTTTAAATGTCATACTTGTACCAGCCTCCACCACTTCCTCTGGCAGCTCATTCCATATATACACCACCCTCCATGTGAAAAAGTTGTCCCTTAGGTCCCTTTTAAATCTTTCCCTTCTCACCTTAAACCTATGCTCTCCAGTTTTGGACTCCCCTACCCTGGGAAAAAGACTTTAGCAATTCACCCTACCAATGCCTCTCATGATTTTATAAACTTCTATAAGGTCACCCCTCAGCCTCCGACGCTCCAGGGAAAATAGCCCCAGCTTATTCAGTCTCTCTCTATAACTCAAAACCCCCAACCCTGGCAACATCCTTGTAAATCTTTTCTGCACCTTTTCAAGTTTAACAACACCTTTCCTATAGCACGGAGAGCAGAATTGAACACAGTATTCCAAAAGTGGCCTAACCAATGTCCTGTACAGTCATAACATGACATCCCAACTCCTATATTCAATGCACTGACCAGTAAAGGTAAGTGCCTTTCTTCACTACCAAAAACAGAAATTGCAGGCAAAGCTCAGTAGGTCTGGCAGCATCTGTACAGAGAAATCAGAGTTAATGTTTCAGGTCCATTGGCCTTTCCTCAGAACTCAGTCATCAAACGTGAAACATTAACTCTGATTTCTCTGCATAGATGCTGCCAGACTTGCTGAGCTTTTCCAGCAATTTCTGTTTTTGTTTCTGATTCACAGCATCCGTAGTTCTTTTGCCTTCTTCACTACCTTGTTTACCTGTGACTCCACCTGCAAGGAACTGTGAACCTGTACCCCAAGGTCTCTTTGTTTGGCAACACTCCCCAGGATCCTACCATTACTTGTATAAGTACTGCCTTTATTTGTCTTATCAAAATGCAACACCTCATATTTATCTAAATTAAACTCCATCTGCCACTCATCGGCCCATTGGTCCATTTGATCAAGGTCTCATTTACTGAGACAGCCTTCTTTATCGTTCACTACACCATCAATTTTGGTGTCTTCTGCAAACTTACTACTAAAAAACTTCACATCCATTTGCTAAAAGTTGCTTTAAATCAATCCTCACATTCTTGCTTAGAATTTTCTGTCTCCACCCATACTCTTGACCAAAAGACATTTGCTGGAATGGGAAAGTACATCCAGCAGGATATTCAAACAGCAATCTTGCATCCATTCCAAGATCAGAAGCTCAGTTTGTTTATTTCTTGGTCCTGTAGAATTAGGCAGAGACAACGCACACCTCCAGTTGCCCCTCCTCCCCGTGATCATTATCATATGTAGCTTAAAAAGTCAACAGTGTCAGGTTGTTTGTCCAATGTTCTGACTGAGCTGAGCCTTATCCTGTTCCCTATTCAACAGTGACAAAGGATTTTTCCAGCAGGATAGCATTTCAAGAACAGGAAACCCGAGCAATGAGTTCCTTTCCTAACTGGGCATGATTAAGGACTGATAAATGTCTCTGCTCAGATCAGACTATGGACCATAGCTGGAAGCTCTTTGTCTGTAGAACCTAGCCACTCGTCAACCTGCTTGCATTTTTGACATGACTAACTGCACTATCATTCTCTAACACCTTGCGAATGTTGAGCAGTGGAACTGTACTCTCCAAGTTCCATTATTAGCTATCTATTCACAACCAGAGTCACTTGCAATGGCTTCTCTTTCAGTTCTTAAGCCATTTTTTCTCGTGTGCTTGGCTGCCTCCTATTTCTCATTTACATCCTGCCCCATATTAACAGAATGCAAAGGCACCGTACTAGTTGTGCACAGATGCTGACAATACCCAGCTCCACCTCATTACCATCTCTCTGAACTGTTTACCCGTCACCTTACCCAACATCTACTACTGTATGTGTAGTCTTCCTCCAGTTAAATAAAGCCACTAGACTAGATTTTACATACCCCAGATAGGTGTGCTTTTTGACAGGGGTTAGCGGGTGACAATAAATTAGGGTTCTTCCCAATCAATCTTCACGTACATGCACCACAATATGTAAAGTGGGTGGGTGCCAAAATCAGGAGCCCATCCCTCGTATGTTACCAAATAATTAAAGGCCAATTGAGCTTGTCAAAACACAATAGTCCCTGGCGGTGTGGGCAGAAGGTTGGGATGGGGCACTGTCAGTGGCATGGGCACCAACACCCCAATCCTAGAGACTTCCTTTTTATATGTCCACTTTCAAAAACGAATCAACCACCCACCCAACTATCACCCCATCCCTCTTCCTAACCTAGTCCAAACCCTCTCCTCTGCCATCCAGGACTCTTAAATGCCTTCTTTGTGGTTCTGCCTGCAGTGACTAGCCCCAAGATCTGACATTGCCAGGATTGGAACTGGTGGTCAATCTGCTTGGCTGGCAGCTTGCAAAGGCAGGATTTTTCACCTATTGAGGGGTAGAATCTACCCATGTTAGGGTGACATGGTGGCTCAGTGATTAGCACTGCTGCCTCACAGTGCAAGTGATCCAGCTTTGATTTGACCCTCAGGCAACTGTCTGTGTGGAGCATGCACATTCTTCCTGTGTCTGTGTGAGTTTCCTCCAGGTGCTCTAGTTTCCTCCCAAAGCCCAAGATCTGCAGGTTGAGTGGATTGGCCATGCTAAATTGTCAATTATATCCAGAAATGTGCAGGCTGGATGGATTAGCCATGGGAAATGCAGGGTTGCAGGGTTACAGGGATGGGTGGGATACTCTTTGGAGGATTGGTATGGACTAGATGGGCTGAATGGCCTGTTTCCACACTGTAGGGATTCTATGAAATTAACACTACCCATGGCATGTTATATCTGCAAGGTGGACTCTCTTTCATGGGTATCACTTGAAAACTGACCAAAGTCCAGAGAGTACTGGGAGCTGTTCAGCCTTTTCCACAAATCTAGCACATAGTTTTCAGCCCATGCTACAAGCTCTGTTCCAAGCCCCTCCCTGGCAACCGTGTGATATTAAAGGTAGCTTGAACACTACCTTGGTGTCACAAACCCTTGAGATGAGCTTCTGACCACATATTTGCACCATTATTGATACAGCTTATTTAAAATTCTACGACATCACCCAACATTGCCCTTGTCTCAGCTCATCCACTGCTGAACACTCATTCTTGCCTTTCTAACAATGAGACTCAATTGTCCCAACATTCTGCTGACTAGTTTCCCACATTTTACTCTTTAAACTAGAGATGATCCAAAATTTTGCTGACCATATCTTAACTCGCACCTAGTTCCATTCCCAATCGTCCTTATGCTTCTGTACATACATAAGGATCTTTTTCAAATCCCTCCATAGCTTTAGCTTTCCCAGTCCCTCTCATTTTCTCTGGTCTCAAGAACCTCTGAATAATACATGCTCCTCGAATTCTAGCCTATTACATATCCCAATTTTAATTGCTTCACCATTAGGCTTTAGTTGACTAGGTCCCAAACTCTGGAATACACTCCCTATACCTCTCTATCTCATTTACCTCTTTTAAGACACACCCTAAAGCTTCTTTCTTTAACCAAGATTTTGGTTACCTCACAATATATCTCCTTACATGGCTTGATGTTCTATTTTGTTTCACAATGCACCTGCGAAGTGCCTCGAGGGAAATTTTAGTCTATTTAAGATGCAATAAATTGTCATGTTGTTGCGAGTCAGATGAACCACGGGTGTAGGGGTGACGTAATGAGAATTCTGACTTGATAATACAATAATACATCATAAAAATCAAGATGACTGGTAAAGTTTATTAAGTTCATGCCCTGTAGCATGTTTTAATACATTCCATTACAGACATATGGTATATTTGTAAAATGATAAGCACAGGAAGAGGCAAAATTTGGGAATGGGGGAAGTCTCCACGTCTTGGAACCACATCTAATGCAAAGGAATATAACTATGATATTGGAGGCCATTCATCTTAGCACCAGGGCACCTCTGCAGAAATTCGTCAGGGTAGCTTCCAAGGCCCAACCATCTTCAGCTGCTTTATCAATGGCCTTTCTTCACCATCATAAGATTAGATATAGGACATGCTCAACAATGATTGCACAAAGTTCAGAATCATTCGCTATTCCTCAGACACTGAAGCAGTCCATATCCATATACAGCAAGATGTGGACAACTTTCAGGCTTGAGGCTGGCACGTAACATTCATGTAAAGTAAGTGACAGATACTGACTGTCCCTACGAGAGAATCTAACAATCATCCCTCAACATTCAGCATTATAACCATCGCTTATTACCACAATATCAATGATCTGAGAGAGTCATTATTGACCAGAAAGAGAACAGGATTCATATATAAATACTGTGACTATAAAAGCATGTCAGAGACTAGAAATCCTACTGCAGATAACTAAGCTTCTAACTGATATGGACCGCAATTGTTCAAGGAGACAAGTCACCGCTACCTACTTGAGGACAATTAGAAATGAGCAAGAAATGCTAGCCCAGCCAATGCCATCTATATCCTGTGATCAAAAATAAATTCCCTGCAACACCCCTCAACCCCATCTACAGGTGTCTACTATCTACAAGGCACAATTTAGGTTTGGGATGGAGTGTCCCCCACTTGCCTGGAAGAGTTCAGCCAACATTTGAGAAGTTTCACATATCAGCCCACTTAACTGGCACCTCACATCAAGCATTCACTCTCTCTACCACCAGCATGTGGTGGTAGCAATGTGCACCATCTCTACAGATGATGTATTGCAGCAATTTGGCAGGGCTCCTTTGATAGCAGGATGCTGGCTAAATTTGGCAAGGAATAGGCGGTTATCATACCTGGGAGCCAACTAACTTTGCAGAAAAACCTAATGAAGTAACTTACATTTTACAGTTATTTCTGAATCCCATTTTGAGCATTATCGTGCAATTTTAGTGTATCTATTCACAAGAACATTAAAAGTGCAAGGTTCATGAGCAAAATTTTGAAGGCAAAAAGAGAGCTTTATGAGCTAAAATAGCCCAATTCTCCTTATTTCATTCATTCTAGTGATCACAATAATTCATGGAATCTTGCAGTACAGAAGGAGACCATTTAGCCCATCATGCCTATGGCAGATCATTTAAAGAGCTATCAGATTCACCCCACTCACTTCATAATCCTTCAAATGTTTCACTATTACATGTTTATTCAATACCCTCCTGAAGGTTACAACTAAATCTGCTTCCATTGCCCTCAGAGAATGCATCCCAGAACATAATGCATCGCATGAAGTTCCTCGAAGCCTCCTGGCTATTACACCAATTACACATCTTAAACCTTTATCCCCTGGTTACTGACCAGTGCGGTTTCTCCTCATGTATGGTCAAAACCCCTCAAAATCTTGAGCACTACAGGGCAATGAGACAGTACTGTGGATGTACCTTGCCCTTCACCTTTCCCCTTCACATTGGCGACAGTTTTCAAGAAGGTGGCTCAGCAACACTTCCAAAGAACAATCGGTGCACAACAAAGACTGAATGAATTTCAAAAAATGGACAATCGTGCTTTTTAAGATGTTGAAGCATCAAATGCGCAGAGTGTTAGAAGACAGAATGGCAAAGCATTATTTGTGGCAACTGGGGGAAACCAGTCACGTTATGGATCTCAAACACACAAAGCGGCAGAAAGTGACCAACATGAGAGGATAACTAACTTGTCCTCACTCTCACCAATGCACCTGCCACATATCTATCCATATCATATCAGTAGGAATAATCTCTGCACACTCTTGTGGAAATTAAATCTTTTTGTCACATTAAGGACATCTTTCACTGTGGCATTGGATTAGGATCAGATCTAGAATCTAATCATAGGTCCAAACTCGTGCTGTTGGCGCTCTTCTGAGGTTCTGACCAGGATTTCACACAGATTTAAATGTAAATCACTCAACAGCTCTCATTTGTATCCATTCTGATCAACTAAGAGAGAAGCAAACAGAATTTGGATTGCAGGAACAAATTACTGCAGATGCTGGAATCTGTACCGAAAACAACAAATGCTGGAGATCACAGCGAGTCAGGCAACATCCACGTAGAGCAAGCTAACGTTTCAAATTTGGTTTGTAATGGCAAAGTAAAAAGACAATGATGAAAGGGGAGGAAGAAAAGTGACATAAAAGTAGGTTCTATGTCACAACAATTCAGTTCATTTACTGGAATATTCCAAGTTGTCTAGAAGGTTCTCAGGGTCAAATTATGTCTATTTTAAGTTAATAGATCTCAGCTGGCAAGGTGGGGGGAGTATGGGAATCAGGCTCAGCAACTCAAGGCTTGAAGGACAGGGAGAAAACAACTGTCGGAGTACATGTGGCTGAATTTAATCTTGTGATTTCCAGATCAAGCCTAATTATGACACTCCCAAAGTCAAACCACATAATGACACTGAAATGTTAGACCAGCTTGTGAAGAATGCCCAGTGGGAAAAGCTACTGGAGGATTGCCAAGTGTTCAAGCAAGGTAAATTTTAATAAGCCTATAAAGGCTGGGATTTAAAATGTTCATGTACTAACACAACCAAAGCTCTACATATGACTGCTATAGTGTATACATGAGCAGAGAAAGTGTGTGGCTAAAGAGATGGGGAACAAAATGGCATGTAGTTAAGTGGAAGTGTTGGGATGTTCAGCTGCTTCCAGCAGTCTCAAACCTGTGTGGCAGTCAAATATGGCTCTAGCCAAAGCCTCTTTGTATGAGATCCTCTGTTTGGTTTTGGGACAAACCAAGTTCCTGGCATGCATCTTTTCATCTGTCAATCTCTGAGCAGTCCAGTCATCAATAAGGTGCCTTCTCAAAGCATCGTCCAAGGACATTCTTCCTGGAAGGTTTGGATCCACCAACCCGCCGGTCAAATATTGTAGCTCAAGGAATCGGTGACCGATGTCATGGCCCAAGAGGTTCTCGCGCAGAGCTTCTGCAGTTGATATGGTCGCCTGTGTCCCAGGCTGAAGGAAACCTCGGTAAGCTTGCTGAGATTTTTGGATGCTGGCAGCAATTTCGCTGTCAACTAAATCTCTCTGCAATGCTTCTGAAATGGAGAATTTCTTCCCAGTTGCTGGATCAGTTATTCCACCAGTACAAGCCTGTGCCTCAAGCAATCGAGTGGCTGTTAGCCTCTCCACTAAATTCTGACGCATAGCTTTCAAGACAGAAATTCTTCTACATCTATTAGGATCCCAAATTCCTGCAATCGGACTATTCGGATTGGAGGCTACAGAGGCTCTGCTCATCAATGTATCAGCCAGCTCAATCACTGTGATGTGGCCATCTCGGTATTTATTAAGTTCTGTCTGGCTGATGATACCCTGTGTTAAAGCATCATTGAGGCTGAACTGCCTTCCGGAGTTACTGTCAGTAAGAAAATATTCGCTACTGCCCTGCCATTTATCAATGGTCTCCCTCCACAGGGACTGCAGTGCTGAAAGTTCAAGGTAGGTCTGCTTCTCAATGTAGTACTTCAGAAATGCATCATATAAAGTTATTTCTGACTTTGTGCTGGTATCAACCACTGAAATACTGTTAGGCTTTGCAGGTGAGGGAGTGGATATCTTGCGAGTCCCAAAGGGGAGGAGCAGATAATTCCCTTCTAAATCTACCACACACAATTTCATCAATTCTGCGTAATGCATAGCTTGTTTGATGTTGTTTGGATTCTGAAAGCCTTTCATGTTGTCAAGCATCTTGTGCAGGTTTTGGGTAGTGTCATGGTTGAGGAGACCTTGCTTGCATGCAGTCTCCAATGGTAATCTAACACTCCGCACTGGGTCGATAATTCCTCCAGTTGCAATCTGAACTTCGAGCAGCCTTCTTCCAGTTTGACTTGGAAGCAGCTTGTTCTCCATGGCTTGGAAAACAGACAGGATCTTGCCATGATGGAAATACCCTGTGACGCCTTTCTCTGCTTCAAGCAGTCTTTCCTTGAACTCTCGAGGAATGAGTCCTTTCTCAATAGCCTCTTGAACAGAGTACTTTCCATTGGACTGTGTGTGGACAATATAGCCCGTTGCAGCTTGCGCTTCCAAAAACTCAAGGGCTACAGAGGATTCAATGACCCCTGCTCTTGCTGCCTCATAGAAGGACATTTTCTGTTTGCTGGCTTCTAAGTACAAGCCAGCAATTGAATTAATTTTGTTCAGATACTTGCCAAGGGAATTTTGAACTTGAGAAACGGTCTTGACTCCTTTCTCAAGCTGCTCAGCAACATTTTTATTCAGGAGTTCAGCTTCAACCAAGTCTTGCACTGTGACTTGACGACGTAGACCCTGAAATTCTGGAATTGTAGATGAAGGAGCAAATTTAGCTTGGACGTTGGTGACGATGTTTTGGTCGCAGCCCATGTGACTTCTGTCACCGATTTGCATCAGAAATGCATTATTGTTTGGATGGTTCACATTTGTCTCAGAATGAAGTCCCACTGAAGTGTTCTGCGCGATTTGCTCAGAGCTAGAAGAAATGCTCATTTCACTTAACCTGGCTTGCACAAAATCACCCTCACATTTGTGCCACACTCTCTGATCATTGCAAGATACAGGAGCATTATGGGTGTTCTCATTTGGCTTAAGGGCTTTCTGTTCTGCTTCTAAATGCTTGCTGTTATTTTTGAAACCTTCCTGTCCAAACAAAACAGTCTCTTTGTCCGAGGAAGCTTTGCCCATTTCACCACTCGATTTGTTTAGGTCCAGCTCTGCCATCTGTGAAAATTAATCATGTTGATAATGATGAGGATTTGCATCTCAGCCAGGTTGGGCCAGCACCAGAACAATGGGGAACAGACAGCAAGAGCCAAAAAGAGCAAGTTGACAAAAGACAAGACCCTCAAAAGATCATTGGGGAATGAACTGTTGGCACGAAAAGCCAGTGAAAGATTTAAGACTAGCAGCATAATTGCTAAAACAAAATCACTTGTAACCACAGCAGCAAAGTAAATTTGCATAAGAAATAAAGATGATATAAGACAGCCAGATTCTTTAGTGGACCAGAATCATGGTAATTCTATCCTTCTTCTCTTCTCTCTTCCAGGCAAAATTATTTACTCCCCAGTGAAAGTTTAAAATCCTTGACAATTCTGGAATAAACTACGAGTTTTACCGATGTGACAAGCTTTGATTCTTCTCAAGCTAACAAATACAAATAGACAACTATTCTGACAAACTCTCAATGAGGCAAGCCAATTGTTGGGTATGTTCTTTTAAATCAACTTTTCTGACACACTCCAGGGCACATGGGACTTGAACCTGGACTGTCGGGCTCAGAGGTAGGGATGCTACCATTGCTACACAACCCTCTAAGCTGTTTGCTGAAAGAGGGTTGAGAGGGGCACTGCCGAGATACAAACTTAGATTCACCCTGTTTACCGAGGCAAATTATCATCAAATTTCAAGTAATTAACTCTGCTCAACAATGAAGTTTACCTTACTGCAGTGGAAGGGGCCACTTCGTTTCCTGACTAACATGCTGCACAAATTCAACTAAATTGATTCATCACAACATGTGATCACAGCTTAACACTATGCACATTGAAATCTAATTCGACATGAGTTTACTGGCACCAAAACTAAGGGATATAAAATAAGATGCAGTAATGCCTCATTTAAAGTCTAACATTGTTTCTCTTTAAAGTCTGTCAATTAATGGGGCCTGTATTCTCGGTTTAAAGAGTCAAAATGAAGCTGCTGCTCCTGCCTGTTGCTCAATCCACGGTCCTTGCTCAGAAAGAGGATTCAGTAGAGCAGTGATCGAAAGAGTCATGTAGCAGGAAGTCCAGCAAGAGGAAGAATTGGTGAAAGGATAAGTAAAAAAGTGGCAGGGATGGCAAGTCGTAGGATTGGCAAACAGTATGTGAGTTGGGGATGGGCTGCAAATAGAGAATCAGTGAGTGGAAAGGTCCACTGAAATCAAGAGGACCAAAGCTGTGGCATAGAGGAGTTTCGGAAAACAGGATAAACTGTGTACAGGAGATGCTGTAAGTAGAAAGTTATTATATTTCTTCTGTATTCTAAAAAGTTATTTTAAAAGTTACCAAATTTACTAAACTAGGAATTTAGCAATTTACAGCATACTCAACTTACACCACATACTAGTTCCATGAATTTTCTTTCTAATGAGGATGATCTTACAGAGCCGTAACAACAGTTTTTACATTAAAACTAATGTCTGTGTGGAGGCTTCTTCTGGGTATTCTGGTTTCTTTCCATAGTCCAACTATGTGCAGGTTAGGTGGATTGGCCATACCAAATTGCCCTGTAATGTCCAGGGATTTGTAGGTTAGGTGGGTCAGCCATGGGAAGTCTGGGGTTATGGGGATACGGTGGGGCACTGGGGAGGGTTCTGGGTGGGATGCCCTTTGGAGGGTCAATACAGACCCAATAAGCCCAATAGGCCTCTAACTGTACTGTAGGAATTCTATAATACATGTTTATTCAATAGTGTTTGACTGAACTGTGGAGTGGGGAGGGTGGTGGTGTTTAACTACATGTCTAAGCACTCATTTCTTTTGCTGGGCACTGTGTTTCCAGATTGATCTTAATGCACATGATGACATTAGAGAATATCCTTCTTGCAACTATTTGATGAAACTCTATTTTTTTTCCAAATTAATTTGGGGTTACAACATTCAATTCTTTCTACACAGCAATGCTGGCGGGATGGTCAGGGAACAGCAGTACTGATCCAGGATCTGGAATGGAAAGTAACACAAACAAGGTGGCCAAGCTCGTTTCTCTTCCTGTCCTCTTAGCTCATGCCAAATAGGAGAGAATTTCCAGCATAACACAAGAAAACTGACAGCTGTGGAATGTTGTGGATCCGGATCTTGTTTTACAATTATTGATGGGGGAAGGACTTGTGGAGCCACAGTAGTATCCCTATCCCTGAGCCACAGTAGTATCCCTATCCCTGAGCCAAGAGGACTGGCTTCACATCCTACCTGCTTCAAAGGTGTGTAATAACATGCTGAACAAGTTAAGAAAATATCTGGAAGTATCTAGAAATATAAATGGAAGGCAAGAGGATGGAAGTAAGGAGTTATGCCACTTTGAGGGTTTTGGAAAAGAATGACAACCAGAGATGGATTTAAAGAAAAATCAAGACTCGAGAAGAGGAAAAAAGATTACTTGCAATATAAGGTCAAAACTTTAAAAGAAGCAGATGTTGACAAAATTGCAACAAGTGAATAGTACATGGAGATGAACTTGGGAACACCGGTTTCTCATTTCACATTCCAGATTGGGATGAGGAGTATCCTAGATATGGGTGCCATGTTCAGGTCATGGGCCTTTTCAATTCGAAGCTGTTAGTTGACTAAAAAGGGACAGAAAAGACTTGAGAATTCAAGAGACCGCTTTGGCAGTGATAAAGATGTAGAAATGCAACACAAGCTAAAAGGGCCATATTGAGTTGCCACTGCTCCAGGATTAGGGTGGAATCTCCAGAAGTTGAAGATCAATCTCTAATACACTGCAGTGTGCAATTCTGGAAGGGGGAGTGGAGAAAATCACAACAGCATTAAAAAAGATAGGGGCTTTTCTTGTAATGTTCTTGGAACAGCTCTGTTTACCAGGTATAAAAATATTGAAAACAGAAAGAAAAGCTGTAAGACTGACAGTAATTGGATAATGAGTCTCTTTGCTTCAATTGGTGTAGGGAGGTTGTACATCACAAGGATCAATGTGCTGACTGACCAATGCCTGGAGCATGAGGACAAGTCATGTGATGGACCCTCCAAGAATACATCAAATCATTGTTGGCAACCCAGCAGACAGTGAGGTGACAATTGTCAATAGATAAATGGGCTTTAGATATGGAGCATTCAAGTAAACAGTGGCTGTGCTGGGGTGTGGTGGAGGGCGAGAACATTTAGAAATTAAATTGTGAAGGAAATAATGTTGATTAGATGCTTGGGCAATCTTGGCAAGTATTATGTTTTGAAACATAATAAAATTGGGCCTAATGCAAAAATCTGAACCATATTCTGGTGTTAAAATCAATAATTAATCTAGAAACTGAATTGTAAGTAGCTGATGTTTTTAATATATGTTTCCAGCACAGAGCCCAACTAGCCAATGGGAAATCCATGTATTTACATAGCCCAGTCTCATGAGAATCTGGTCCACTATTGATGGAGTGTCAGAAAGCTGCTCACCACAAAGCTCCCCAAGGAAAAAGTTTTTCTCAAACCAGCTTTTGTCCAAAATGTACCTCTGATGGCTGCTTCAAGCTCCTTAATGGTCTAACATTTTGTCTTCCTTCATCAGCCTCCAGCAGTTTCCTTTGAATGTATTTTGTTTCCGCCAGTCCTGGTGTATTTTGCACAGATGTCCCCAGTAAAGCAGTGTGTGGGGTGGTCAGGACAGATTGCCGACTACATGGCTCACTCTCTGAAAACTCCACTTCAATTAAAGAGGTCATTGGCCTCACACCTCCGGGTAAATAATAGTTTTCCTCCAAGACTACCCTCTTCTGGTTCTTTGCTTTACGCCATTGCAGATGGTGCTGGCCCCTCGCTTGCCTAAGTAAATCCTCTGCCACCCGATTGGATTGTTTGACCCTGCTGTCCAGCTCTGTGCTCCAGTTATTGTCCTGCCTCATCTGCCGCTGTGCTTGGTCCAGTTTGTTGCCGAATTCCTGCATCTGCAAATATTGCATTCTGACCTCCTCTTCCAGGACAACCTTCTCCAATTGAGCAGCAGAGATCTGCGCTTGGAGTTCACTGATCGTTCTTGTAGCTGCAAGGTTAGCCTCTGTCAACTCGGCTAGCTGAAGTTTTAGGTCATCCATTGCATGTTGGCCACAGTCTACCTCCTCCTGCAGTTTCCGAGTCCTGAGCTCTTGCTCCTGTTCTTCCCTTGATCTCTGAATCAGCTGCTCCTGCATTTTCTTAAGCTGCTCACTCAAGCAGTCTACCTGCACTCTCTGAGCATCGCCTCTTTGCTCTGCCACCCTTTTCTCTGTCATCACAGACTCTAGTTCAGACTTCACGCTGCTCAGAATCATATCTACTCTTTGCTTTGCAGATACCAGATCATCAACCCTTAGTGTCAATTCCCTTGCTGTCTGTTTGTGCTGTGTTAATTCATCTTCCAGTTTCCTAACTGTCTGCTGATACATGACCTCGATATTAACTTTCTTTTCCAAAGCCTCTTCGACTTTTCTCAATGTTTCTTTCAACAAGTTTGTTTCCCGTTTCTGAAACTCTGCCCTTTCCTCAACTAATGCTTTCTCATTTTGAAGGTAGTTGCATTCAGCCTTTAAGTTCCTCTTAACATCGTCAGCACTACTGCAGGTCAGGGTAAGCTCGTGCATTTTGAGCTCGAGCTCCCTTGATATGCGTTGGCTGTCAGCCAACTTGTCCTCCAGCTCTTTGCATTTCTCCACCCACTCTTTCTCTTCGCGACTCTTCTTCCCCTCTGCTACTTTGAGTTTCTCGAGTAAATCATCAGCCACACCCTTGTGGGTCGAAGCCCTTTGCTCGGCAAGGCTCCGGTCCTGATGGAGTACCTCAATCTCCCCTTCTAAATGCTGAACCCGGGTCTGAGCACTCCAACAGTCCTGGGAAAGTTCCTCAGCTTTCAGCCTTAAGCTCTCGCTCCTGCATTGGCTGTCATTCAACTCCTCTTCTAAGTGTGAAAACTTTTGCTGATAATCCTCCTCTTTCTTGCGCATCTGTTTCAGTTCCATTTGGGCTTTCTCAAGTTCGAGTCTTAAGTTGCTCAACTCTATCCAGTGTGAGGAAGCTTTGAGTTCTACTGCACCCATGTTCTTTTCCAGAGACCTCATCTCAAACCGTAACCCTTGCAAATCCTTACAAGTTCGGTCACTAATCTGGTAAAGGTCAGAAGTCAATTTCTTCAGTTTCTCTGATTCATCTGCTTGATCCACCAGTGCTGTTCCTGCTCCAACCTCACAGTAAAAGTCTCTGATATAAACATACATCTGGTCCACAATATTCTTTATTCTCATTACCTGCTGCACGGTTTCCAAGTCAGTGACCTGTTCAACATCATTGGCAGCAGCAATCAGCTCAGGGGAGGCCTGTTCTGAGAAGTGCATGTTTTGTTCCATTGGGTTGGTTTCATTCTGTTCCCCTTGTACACGCAGGTGTCCTTCTGACCGCCACCTTGTTAAAGGGTTCTCGTAAAGCCATCTCGCTGACTTGTGGAACTTTGCTCCAGCTGGGATCTCAGCTTGGAGAGTCAGCTCCTTCAAGTGTTCCAATTCCTGTTCTAACCTGGCTTTCTCCTGCAACATCTTCTCCAATTCTACCTTGTACTGGCTCCCCTCCGAGTCAGAATTCTTCTTGCTGAGGCTTGTTTTGTTGACGAGTTCCCGATACCTCTTCTGTTCATTCTCAAATTCTTCCTGTAAGTGGGTCACCCTGTTCTCAAGTTGCTGTTTTGTCCCTTTAGTCTCACTCAACTCCACCAGCAGAGCAGTGACCTTCTGCGTTAAGATCCAGTTCTCGTCACGGAGGGCAGTCAGAGATTGCTGCTGACTGGAACCACCTATGTTGGTGTACGTTTCAGGAAACCTTCCCTTCTACAAACAAAATCAAGTGCTGAGTGAGATTCATTAGGGTGGTCAATACTATTTAGAATTTCACGTATTTCTTATATGTAAAACCAGAAAATTTTGCATCCTTACAGAGGTGCTCTTAGTAAACTGGCATAATACAGACAAGGCAACAATGTCAGTTCAGCTATACCCCATCACCTTTTGCATAAAGCTACAAAATGAGTGTTTTGTTAGTGTCAAACACTGAGAAGATCCTCCACCAGAAAGAGAAGATGCATGAAAAGGATTTGGTCAGTTTTGGAAAGCAAGTAAATGGAAGAATTTATTCAAGCAAAATAACTCATTCAACTTGATGTGCAGTACACTCTATATAGAAACTGTGCACAACCCAATTTAGGTATTATGCTTTTTATTCATTCCCAGGATGTGGCATCGCTGGTTAGGCCAATATTTATTTTCTCTCAAGCTGATGGTGAGCTGCCTTCTCGAACCTTCTAGTGTAGGTACATCCACAGTGCTGTTCGAGAGGGAATTCCAGAAATTTGACTAAGTGACAACATGATACATAGCTCACATACAAGAATTGTAAGGGATCTGTAAAATTGTTTGAGTGTGGAACAGCTTGTATAGTAAGTTTACAAGCAATTCTTACCTGAATTTGTCACCAAAAAAGTTACAACCTAGATATGCAGCATCAGCACTGTGCTCCTATTCTGAATTGTGGTTAGATCTCTCCATTAGCCTCAACAACATTATAAGATACTTTCTACTCCTTGTGACCATGACAGTGAGAAATTTTATTATGTCATAATTAGATATCTAACATTTGCTTGCAAAATCTATTGAAGTTTTTTTGTGTCCTTGCACCCATCCATTTGGTTTATCATACTCACACATGATTCAGTGTAACACAACACAGAGGATGCTATGTACCTGAAACACATTCAGCCCGCTCACTCACTGTGGCCAAGACTGAAGACTCCCCAGAGTCTTTGGAAGTGAGGGGAACTCCTGATAAAGACTGCATCCAGTTCAGGCACAAGACAGCATATATGAAATATTACCTTTACTACTTGGATGTTCCTCTCTACCTGCATGGGCCACACTTCATAGATGAATTTCCAGTTTGTCTTCACAAGCCTGCATTTAAGGCAGTCTGTCCCTTGTCGTGTCTACTCCCCCAGGGTCTAATAGCTTTAATAGCAGTCAGCAGCCCATTAACTGCTGCTGGTTTACAAGCGACCCTGTAGCACAGCCATTGCCTCGCGTGCTAAACGCCAAGAGGTCAACATAGCATTATGTCAGTGGACGTTGCTGTAGTGATTAGCTATTTGATCACACTGTACTCAGTTATCTAAACACACATTGCGTATTATAATAATTCATAAGTAATGAAACCTACCTTTAAAATTCAATCTTAAAGACTCTGAAACAACATTTTGGATTGTCTTACATAGATGAAACAGATTTCAGCAACAAACTTGTGTACTTTTTCAGATTGTCTTGGGAAGATCCCACTTTCAACATTGGATCCAGCCCTATTTTTCAGCCTTTGCTTCACTTCACAAATTTCTTCTACCTTCTGCCATTTCAACAATTCCGGATCTCCAAACACCCTCTCCTGGATATTCTCATTCACTTTCCAACATATATCTACTTCAGCACTTGATTCCATTGGTCCTCTCCAATTTCTCAGATTATCTATTTTGAATCCAACTGTGTCTTCCTCCTGATCCATCTCATCAGGAGCTCCCTGCATTCCTGGGCTTTGGTGGGCTTCAACGGGATGCTTTGGGTTTGCGGTCAGCTGCTGCTGGAGGCCCACTGGCTTAGTTTTATAATGGTTGGAGATGGTTGGCCCGTCTGCATCCACCTCTATCACTTTTACGTCAGCATTTTCCCCAACTTGTGTGGCCATGCCATTATCACGAGTGACAATGGATGGAGCAATCTCCACCTTGCCTACCTTTGCCAGTTCACAAGTGGTGTTGTTGGCATGTTTGTCCTGCAGTTTCCCTTTGTTAATGTGAAAATTCCCATCTTAACAGAATCCTGCCAGTGTCACATTTCTTTCCCGAACATCCATGGGATAATCCTGAATTGATGGCTGAGATTTAACGATGAAATTTGCTTCACTGGAATGAAATTGATCTTCTTCAGTTAGCTCCGCATTAAATTCAGAATCTTTGACAGCCCACTTGTTACTTTCATTGTGAACTGACTGGCCATCAAGGTCCATTTCAATTGCAGAGTCACTGGATTCATTTCGTTCACTCTTACTATTCTTGCATTTCCTAATTGGCATACTGCCTTCAGGACTTTCTTTCTCACTCTCACTATCTGGTGTGACTGATGCTCTGCCAGTCTCAAATCCATGGCAATACATTGCTGAAATTACATCGTGTTTAATGTCCGAGAAACCTGCTTCTTGAGGTTTCACCGTGGAACAGTTTCCCTTCATTGGATTCACTTCTTCTGGAGTTTTCTTCAAGGTTCCAAAGATGTCAATCTCAACATGTGGATCTCCCAATTCTTCAGCATAGTTTTTATCAGTATTGGCCCATTTGTTACCAACATGTTCGTTGAGTGGTATTGGTTGATCGGCATGCTTGATTTCCATAACACATGTCTTTGCAATGGTTCCATGGCTGCAAGTTTGGGAAAGGAGCTAGCTCGATCAGTCCTTTGAGCACCTGGGGTCAGGGAAATGGGCTCTTCATCTGCTAATGTCCTTGTGGTTCCCTCCATGGTAATGAGACTCTTCACCATTTTTTCAGCTGAACTACTCTGCTTTCTCATTTCTGCTCCCTGTTTGGGGTTTTGTTCAAATGTCATTTGGTCAGACCTTTCTGGCCACACTGGTTTGTTCACAAGTCGCAAACACAACTCCGATTCGGTTTGATTTTTCTTCAAACATTTCTCAACTGTTAGGCCCTTATTTATGGACGACACCTGCACATGTGATAAACCCTCCTCCGTGCTGTCTTGTGACCTTTCATTCTGCTGAGCAGCTCCAATCTGCTCCACCCGAAGACTGTTTGTCTGTTGTCTTGTCTGAACATGTAGGGTCCCACTGGGCAGAGCACTGGCCTTCTCCTCAACAGCTGGATTGCATCTTTTCAGCTCATTAGCCAAAGCTCTCAAGGAAAAAGTTTCCTTTTCCAAAATTTCTGACCTTCCAGTGACTGCTGTTGGTGTGAAACTGGTGTGAACTCCCTCCAGCAATCTTACAGAAATGGAATGGAAACCAAGGAGATGTGCATGTCTTATTGCCACTACAGTCTACAGCTTGCCGTTTAATCTCATTCTGTGGCATCTGAAGAGTTTGCTCCTCTTGTTTCTTACGTTCGTCTTGTGGCAGGGTTACTTCTTCAGCTGAAGCACTGTGTTTGGTTTTAAGCCTTGGTTCTCCCCTAACATTTGCAGTTAGGTCTTCTCCATGAGCTGCATGTTCTAGAGATGGATAATGGGGAAACAAATCCTTACACTTCACCAGTTCAGAGCCACTATCTGTGATGTCCTCAGGGCTGTTCAGATTTTTAGTACTGAGGTTTCCTATCTCCAGTCTGTAAAATCCTCGTATATTTGGCCATGATTCATCTATTTCTTCATCAGCTGTTTCAGGACCAACCTCAGAGCCACAGCAGCCTACTGCACTGGACTGGAGCTGACTTCTAAACTCTTCAGCTTGTCTTTCTTCCCCTTGAGCAAAGAACGTACCACCCAGGAATTGCACAGTCCCCAAAGCAGCAAATGGTTTGCTCCCTCTTTCCTCTTCACCTCATGACATCTTCTTGTAATTCCCTGTTCTCCACACTTTCTCAGCAGGTTCCTTTGCAAAGCTGGGATTTCTGACTAGAGGCTGCAGTCTTTCTGGTTCAGCTCCATGTGCGTTCTCCCAATCATGTCCATCAGGTATATCATTTGATATTCTCTCACGGAGGACACATTTCTTCAGGACCATTGACTGACTCCTAGCTTTGTCATCTTTGTCTGCACCTGCACTGTTCAAATGCTGGCCTTGTCTTCCGTCTCCCTGGATCTGCAAAGACTGTGCACACATTTCCAGGTAGATTCTTGACCAGCCTGTTGCTAGTCCACTTCCTTCATTCCCCCATAGAGCTGCAGTCCTGCCTCCTACTCTTGCAGGCTGAACAACATTCATCACCAGTGAGTCCTTCACATCTTCAAATGAACTCTACAGTAATGGTTCAGGTCGGCATTAGTATTCCACTCTTTATACAAGTGATGGTGTTGATTTTTCTGAAAGAAAATCAGTTTGGCGAAGAGACAGACTGGGAGGGCCCTTGAGATTTATCACGGTCCAGCCAGACAGAAGATGGAGCAGGTTGATTGACTGATTTGAAGGAGCAACTCCTTGGTGATTCCAGAAAATCAAAAATTGATTCTCCAATCGTGGAAGCAAAAACAAAACCAACACAGATCATTTAACCTTTCACTGCCAACGCGGGGTCTACAAATTTAGGGGAAGTGGTCATCTTGAACGTTTATGCAGAATTAGAAGTTGATGGAAAAATGGGAGGCTATTCAGCCCACTAAATTGAAGCTGGTACTCTTTAGAGCAATCTAAGTCAGTCTAATTTTATTCTAACCTTGCACGGGATGCAGGCAACACTGGCTGGGCCAGCATTTATTTCCCTGTTCCAAATGTCCTAGGGAAGATGGTGATGAGCTGCTCTTTTGAGCTATTGAAGTCCATGTAGTGTCAGTACACCCACAATACTAGAAGGAAGGAAGTTTTGGCCCAGTGAGTAATCATTTTTGAGGTTTACGATAATTGGGAATGACCACCTATGATCAATTGAAATATAATCCCGACAAGTTGGCAGTGAAGAGATTAACAGATGTAAATAAAGCAAAATAGAAACGATTTGGAGTCAAGCCTGATGGATTGGATTTATTCAAACATGTAATTTTTCATAAATCAGAGAGCAGGTGAACCTGAAAATATAAGGTCAGTAATTTCTGAACAGAGCACGCAAAGACACCACCCACCAAACCTCTGTTTGACTCACGTTACCCATTTTAAGATGCAGTATTGTGGATTTAAGTACTGGTTTCCAGACTGCACACAGTACATGTTGCTTTTATTTGCAATGGCAAATGTATTTCTCAATATTTAATGTGAGATCAGAGAAACAAAGAGTAGTAGGTGCATGAGGTTGTATTATAGGAACAGCGAGGAGTCAGTAAAAGCTGACAGCAATTCCTTACCATTACTGCTAGTCTTTTCAAGCACCAAATTAGTGATACTTTTTACATATCAAAGATTTGGCCAAATGTAAAGGTCTGTGATGGTTGAACAAAACCTTAAACTGAATGCACTGATTGATGCATAACAGGCCAGTTCCAGCCCTGCATTACCAAAAAGGACAGGAGTTGGTCAGATTTGTTTCAGGGAGCCAGCAGTAATTGCAAACAAATGCCGTCCCACAGTGGCTCACCGTGAAGTAGCACCAGTTCACATCGTGAACCATCATAGCACAATCAAATATCCTATGCAAAACTCTCCACTTCCCTGCGACAGGAGACACCGGCCATTAACTGAAGCACCACCACCAATATTTGAAGCGAGATGATTTAGACAGGCAATTAACACCAGTAATGACAGCAGGTGGCAGCAACACACCAAAAAAAAACATTCTATACACAGATTACAACTGACAAATTTGTGAACACACTAATTCCTAACTAATTAATTAATTGCTAATTAATTAACCCCGCTACATCACCCGCAAACCCCATCCATATGCTGTCACTGTTACATTTAATTTTTTATGGAATTATTTCATATCCATCACTCTATGTATAACAGTGCTCTATATATTCGTAGCTATTAATATAAATAACTTCCTGATCCTAATCCCTAAACTTTACTTGTCACTAATCTGAACCTGTGTCCCATAAAATTCTGCATTTATGAAGCCCAATATAACTCCAATGCTCTTGCATATACAACTGCAACAGAATGTCCTAGTCAACATTTCTACCTCACTTAATATCACAAGAATAGATTATCTGATTGACACTGTGGGGTCTTCTGGTATTTTCTTTACAACAGTGATTATCTTTCAGAAATATCCATTGGCTCGAAGTTCTTTGGGACAGCCTGAGCTTGGAGGCACCATAGAAATGTTAATAACTATATTCTTTATTCACTTCCTCTCACAGACTGTTGAGTAATTCCTTGCACCCCATCCCAATCTTCGTAACTAACTTATCTTGCAATTCTGACAAAGGATTGCACCATCTTTTCAAATGTGTGGACTAACTTGTACATTCTCTTTCTAACATCTTCACTTCTTTCCTTCTGCACATCAGGCAAAATAACCTGAGATGACAAGGTGTAGAGCTGGATAAACACAGCAGGCCAAACAGCATCAGAGGAGCAGGAAGGCTGATGTTTCGGGCCTAGACTCTTCTTC